GTTGTAGGCACGGTAAATCGCCCTGTCACACGAAGTACGGGTCCCACTCCAAAGGAAGCCACTAGAGATGATCCAGGATCGTCCAGAGATCAGACTCCAGCTGTTGGGAGATCTTCGGGAAGGCTCGCGCACGTGTTTGCTTCTGTGGCCGGAACCGCCAGGCGGGTGTCGGGATCCTTCTCCGCGGTCCGCATCGGGTCTTCCTCGGGATTAGGCTTTGATCGCATGAAAGAGGGATCCAAGGCGGCGGTCTCCAATCCTGGTCCAGGCGGACGTCACCTGTATCAGGAAGACATGGAGAAGGAGCTCATGTCGAAGTACAAGCAGGAGCTGGTGGAGCATTGCAACCGAGACAAGATAAAATATCATAACAAGAAGCAGGCTGTTGCCGATTTGACAGCCATCATAGTTAGAGATGCCTATGGAGACGAAGAGGAGGAGGTGCACGAAGAGGAATCTGCGGAGGAATCTCAAGAGGAGAATCCTTCTTGATTCCTACCGCGATCCACGTTGGTTGTGGCAGCAAGTACACGATCTTCGTGAAAGAAGAAGTGGCAGAAAAGAGAGGTGATTCGAGGCGGTGTTTGGAGGAAAAGTTCAGATTTTTCGTGCTACTACTTATCCTCACTGGGCAGATCACTTGGGGAGTAAAGTTCCTAGATCAATGGATTGGGTCTGTCCAGGAGGGATATGAGATATGCGATGGAGAAGGAAGTTGTGTTTACATCCTTATTTCGCCATGGCACAAGGCCACGTACATAGGGTCAACTAGTAGAGGTGTATCTGAACGTTGGTCGGAGCATATTTTGTCCACTAACCACCAGTCAATCAGACGAAACCACAAGCTCAGGCGGTGGCTGGCTTCCAAGGGTTGGGAAAATTATGTCGCTATTCCACTCCTCACCACAGGAGACAGTGAACTGAGACTCGTTGAGGAATCTCGTATTGCTAGATGGGCCCCGGTTCTAAATACAGCTGGACGGAAGCAACGGGGTAGGAGCCACAAAAAAGGGAAAAGAGAACGTACGGCACTGGCTAGAAAGCTTTCGACTTGGGCTCCGGATAATATCACGTACGGAAGCATTATGTCTTGGCATGTTGCAATTGGAAGTGTTGTAATCCCGAGTGAAAAGTCTGCGTCGTTTTCCCTGTTTTGTGCACTCGAGGAAGCAGTCGCTGTTGGCCGTTTTTCAGCCTGTGTCCGTACGAGGGGAGGACACCATTTTTTCGATGGATGGGGTAGGCTCAAGAGAAAGTTCGGTTGGTCGATTATTATAGATGAGGATGACAATAAATTCTTTCTTAAAGATGGCAGGTTTGTTTTTATGAAAGGCGGCACGTTCCATTTCCTACACATTAGGATGGTAAATAGCCTGACAAGGCAACGGCGAATTGTCTTAATGTCACTTCTATCCCTGCCATCTTCTAGAAAGTTACTCTACAAATTTGAGGTTGATGCTCTGATCAAACTTTACAACTGCACTGAATCATTCAACAATGGCAGAACCAGAGCCATCCAGAAAGGAGTGATGGGACGCGCGCTCAAATCTAAATGCGGTGCACACTGTTTGACAGCAGTAACGGTTAAGTCTGTTTTTTCTGAGTTGATTAAGAAAAAAGAAGTCGTCAACTTAATAAACAGAGAACTTAGGAGGCGCTATGAGCCCCCGTGTTTAGCTGAGTTTATGATCTCAAGAGTTCGTTTCATCTGGACCAGTCCTAAGACCATTGGCAGACTTCTTCACAACCACCGCCAGATTGCGAAGGAATCTGATCCGACCTGCTACTGCCAAGAAAAAAGTCATGAATTACCTAGGAATAATGACAATCATGTTGTGTTCCGTCTCTCTGAGTTCTCTGGAGCTCCCGGTTTTCTTTCCAATTCACGTAACTCTTTACCTCCTGCACTCGCAGTTACTCCAGGATATATTCGGCGTATCATAGAAGACTGTACTACAAGATGCATTGGTAAGTTGTGTGCCTCGGGTAAAGATCTGCGTAATTGTGTGGTTTCCGGATCTGTGAAGTCGGACGACCGAATGATGTCGCTATTGGAATGGAAGAATAAGCTTCGTGACCTGGTGGTCTGTCCAATTGATCACAACATTGGGGATTCACTTGTATGTTGCAGCCACATCTACCACAAGGCGCTGGCCGATCTGTACTGGGACAATCCTGGCTTTGTGATCGTCGAATCCAGTCCAACTGAGGTGATTAAGGTCTGCAAAAAGGAGTATTTTGCCATTCATGCTCAGAATATTGCCCGGCGGAACAATCAGGGTACGCTGGGGGGTTGCTACGTGATCCCCAAGCACAAAGACATCACAAGATGGCGGCCTATTGCACCCTCCTTTGCTGAACCTAGCGTTAGAGCCTGCAAAGTCATTTCTAAAGCCATCAATTTTCTTCTCTGGAATCTGCCACATCTCTCACACTTCAACCTCAAGGCTACCTCGCTTTTAAAGAATAGGATATTGAGGATTAATAATAAGGCTTCCAGGATGAAGAACGGGTGCTTGTTGGCAGCCTGTTACGATATTAAAGAAATGTTCACACGCTTACCTCACAAGTCAATCTTGAAAGCCGTGGAATGGGTTTGTGAGGAATTCATTGGCAAAGGACACAACAGCGTGCGTGTCTGCAGGAATGGGAAGGGAGTTAGTTTTGCTTCGGCCTATGGGGAAGCAGGCTGGGTAACAGTTAAGTTTTCCATGATTCGTGACCTTGTCCAGTTCGACCTGAACAATACCTATGCTAGTGTAGTAGGCAGGGTAATCAGGCAAGTTGTTGGGATCCCAATGGGGAAAAGTTCCAGCCCAGCGCTGGCATGTTTGCTCATATAACGAGCATACTTTCCTCAAATCTATAGGGACAGATGCAAAGTACCTTTCAGGAATCAGGCTGGTGGATGATGTTTGCTTTTTCATTCTACTTCCGGATCAAAGCAAGCCTAGGCTCAGAAAGGCAGCAGAGCTCATGGAGAAATTTAGTAGAGCATATGACGGCAATTTGTCTCTAATAAGAACCGACGATGGCAGTGGGAAATGGGAATTTTTGGGTTGTTCGGTCATCTGCACTGCGAACCCTCCTTCGGTCGAGTGTGTTGCTACCATCAAGAATCAGGCCTCCGTATGGAATAAGGAGTCCATCTGTTTTTCTGACCAGCAAGGATTTCTGGTCTTACGGGCCGGTGCAGTTCAAGAAAGCATCTGTTAAATGCCATCTGTACAGAATCCTTACCCACTCATCAGACAATAGGGGAGTGGGTAAAACTCTCCTGTCGTTAAGGAGGGAAATGAGATTGAAAGGCTTCCCTGCCCATTGGTTTTTCAGGGCGATGGATGAGGTATCAGTTACCAATAAGGGGGCTTTCGAAGGCTGGACCGAAATTTTTGGTGCAGGGCTCGAGGCAGGAAAGCGACCCCAGGCCAGAAACGGGTTTTCGTCGGGACCAGCCCCTACAATCAGACCTCGGATCCGATGCCCGCTAGACAGAAACGGGTGACCTTTTTGTCTTTTTTGTCTTTTTTGTCTTTTTTGTCTTTTTTGTTTTTTTCGTCTCTTTTTTTCGTCTTTTTTTTTTTTTAATCCCCACCTCTTCTGGTCCGAGCTCCGCACCTCTCTCACACGTCACTGTTTTTGTGCCTTCCGATCTTGACAAGCGCTCCGAGATGGATACGCAAATCTTCCGCCAGCCACCTGCCCCCGATCATATTTTTCTTACCTATGACCCTGACTTACCAACGCACGCTTTGACGACCTTTTCGAACTGCCTTTTGTCTTATCCCTCCGCGACAACTTGTTATGCTCCTCCTCCTCCCCTCGTTCTTTCCTACCTGTGATCACTTCTCCACAACCTCCTGTTTTTTCTGTCTCCCTCCTCGTCGTTTTTCTCGCATCTGCCAGGCTCACCCGTCCCCCCGCCCCCCCGCCCCCCTGTTCCCCGTCCCACCCGTCCTTCGTTCATCTGTAACTTCCTCTCCCCCTTACCTTCTTGAACCTTCCATAGTCTTTGCCTTTCCACCTCTCCCTATCTTCCCACCACCCCCTGAAAACAAGTTGATTAGTCAGCGTTCGGATTAACGGGGCCTGAAACTTGGATTTGGCAGGAACTGACCAGTACCGCAGGATAGGCGGGAAAACTCAATGACGAGGAAAACGTAGCAAATTTTTCGCTCGTTTTAGAATTTATGTTCTCCCCCGCGATGAGTTTAAGCGCGCACTCCAAACCTCCTGACGATGATCTCACACTGGCAGTGAGATCGAAACCGGTCAAGGCGCTCGCCAGCAAGCTCTATTATCAGGATTTTTTTCAAAAGTTTCTTTGTGCGCTACTCCAAGTTCTCGTCATGCATCTTCTTTCTTTCCTCTCTCTTTCTTCTTCTTTTTTCCTTTCCTTTTCTTTCCTCCTCTTTTTTTCTCTCTCTCCCTCTCTCTCTCTCTCTCTCTCTCTCTCTCTCTCTCTCGTTGTGCTCTGAGTACGGTCTAAATTCAAGGGCTCTCTTTGCGATAATTGGCTCGGCTTATCATCCGGTCGACATAAGCAGGGGCTTGACCCTGCGAGCGCTGTTTTTCTGCAGTGCTATTCTATCTTCGACTCTTCGACTCGACCCTGGGGCCGGGGCTCGACAACCCTGATGACGACAACTGATTGATTGACTCTAAAGATAGAAAAAGGGGAAAGAAAGATGGGACAAAAATAGTAGGAGTAGGAAAGACAAGATAAGTGTGGGCGATATAGTCCTTCTCTATGACTCGATCTTGGAAAGAACGTGGTCGGGAAAGTTGGCTAATAGATGGATGGGGCCTTATCATGTGGTCGAGGTACTCGACTGGAGAGCCTATATGATAGCCGATCAAGATGGATCTAAGTACAGAGATACAGTGGCAGGGCATAGGCTGAAGTTATTTAAACCAAGAAGATCCTTAACCTCTGCGCCAACGCTATCCGATCCCACAAGAAAGGCAAAGGAAAAGATGATGGATGAGTCACCATTCATACGGTTTGTGGTAGGAGAGAGCTCAAGGAAGAGGAAGAGAGTAGAGATCCAAAAATGGTAAGGATTGACATAAGGAAAGAAAAAGAAATGGCTTTTCATAGTTAGGAGGCCGAAACGTAGGGTCCGAATTAGACAGAGGAGGACACAAAATTGCTCTCATCGCAACGAAAAAAGAGGCGCAAGAATGCTCCTGTGGCGTTACCTAAGCGACCGAGGCATAGAGGACAGGGAAAGAATTTTCTCAGTCCCAGGATTCCCGGTAAGCCTAGACACAAAACGGCTAGGGCTCAACACCGACAACGTATATGAACGGTCTCTTTGAAACTTGTACGTTTTCTCTGAAAAATACGACAAAGTCTCGACGGGGACGTCGAGAAGAGCTCCGAGTTAACTGTTGGGCGGCCAAAAGCAGTCGGCCCCCCGAAATGAAGGAAGTTGGGTCTTTGACCGAGCGCTTAGACAAAATTCTTTGCGTACTCTTGTCGGAACTGTCGGGAAAAATTAGGGGTCCCAAGACGAACTCTAAAATTCTTTGCATCAACCGATGATACTAACCCTTAAATTTTAGTAACTTAGATAGTCGTTTCTACTGCGCTTGACACTTACCTTTTAGTCTTTTATGAGGTTGTCTTCGAATTGGCCCACCGTGGGCAAGGATATGCTTGG